ATGATCTATTCAACATAATTGTTTTAAAAATATTAACATAAAATTAATATTAATCCTTAGTCAAAAAAATAAAATGAAGCCAGTTATAGTAACTTATAGTTATAATGTTAAAGTAAAATTTCAATTCTGAAATAAAGGTAGGCATTAACCACAATGTTCATGGTTTCTGATCATAGTGAAAAGTATTTGCAGCTATCCCTATAGTTAAAAGCATTCTTTGTAAATGTAATGTCTCACAAGTAAGATGTCTTGAGTAAGTGAACTAAAAACTATTGCAGTGTAAAACTTCAAATCCATGCAACAGCAATGTTTGTAATTAAGGGGAAATAACTGATATTACTAACTTTATAATTAAAGTTCCATGTTAAGTTAGCCAGATATTAAGACTTGTTTGTATTTTAAATTTACTCATATAAATATACTATCATAATTAACATCTACCTGACACATTTTATGATCAATTATACCTAAATACATACGTTAAACAAACAACCACATTAGAGAATATTGCTGTTTAGGTTAAAATAATTTGTGAAACTTTACAGGTTGTTTTAACATTGTATTGATAACAGGATGGTCAAATCAATCCTTGCTTGTGGACTACAAGAATGTTTGAGTAAAGAATGGATGGGAGATAACTTCAGTGACTTTAGAGTTGTGGTTGATGGCTCACAGTATTTCTGTCACAAGTTTATTCTAAGTGCCTGCTCAACTTTCTTTAAGACTTTGTTGAGTTCGGATTTCAGAGAAAAGAAAGAAGAATGTGTTGAGTTAAAGAACATGAGTAAAGAGACTTTTGATGTTATAATCAATGCAATTTACAAAGGTGTTGATGATCTGACAAAAGACAACATCATTAGTGTGTGGCAAGCTACTCATATGTTGCATATACCATTTCTTATTGAAGAATGTGAAAGATTTATTTTGGAAAATATGTCCCAAGATAATTTTGTTACATTTTATGAAATTGCAACGCTTTTGAACTCAAAAAGTGTGATTTCTTTAGCAACAGACTTCATAAAAAAACATTATGAGCAATTTATTGAAACCGATACCTTTCTTGAATTAAAGCACTCTGTATTACTTTATTTGATTGATGATGATTGTCTTAATGTGTTGTCTGAAGATGTTGTTTTAGATTCCATCATTAATTGGGTCTCGTATATAAATTACAAGAGCTACCAAACAAAAGACTCAGGTAAAGATAATTTAGTGACATCATCATCTGATTTTGCAAGCAAGGAGAATACTGAGTGTGATTTATCTATATACAATCAGCTGGATAAAACTGCTAACTCCAAATTAGACTCAAACAAGGAAATGATGGACAGAAAGCAGTATCTTGTTGGATTGTTGACAATGGCCAGACCATTTTTAGCCAGTCGAAGCTACCTCGAAAACCTTTTAATAAATCCATTGATAAGGGAGAATGAGAAAGCTCTTAAGATTGTGTACGAAGCTTTGTTGTACCAATGGACATCTGTTTCTTATTCCCGTAACTTAGTGATCCCATATAGAAAATGCAGCGGTAAACGAAATGTCATGGCATATTTTCACAAAAACAAACTGAACTTGCTTGATGTAGAGAGTTTAAGAACATTTGAGCTTGATTTGGGTTTAGTGTTAGGTACTTGTTGGGATAATGCTTCAAAAGATGGTCACAGAAGCATGGTGCTAGCATCAATTGAGTCCTCACTTTGTTTTGTGTATTCAAACACTGGTAAAGTCAATTGTGAATTCAGTAAAAGAAATCACCTTTGCTGTTATAAAAATCTTGCAATTATTGATGAAAATAAGAAGGTATCCACACTTAAGACATTTTGTGGAGAGTCTCCACTTGAAATAGTATCAGTAAATAGAGATTTTGTTGCTGTTAGTGATTGTATATTTAAAACAATAATGGAAGATGGTGCTTTTAGCTGTGTTGACTTTAAGTTCTCATTACCTGTAAGTTCAGTATGTGTTTTTCAAGATTACATTTTGATATTTTATAACAAAAATGGTACTTCAAAAGTACAATGTTGCAATATGTCTACAAAGTCTTCTCAGGAAATCGACTTTGACAGCCAAGTAAACACAATTATAACAATTCAAAAAGGAAGGCAAGTGTATATTCTTTTACAAAGTGGTACTTTAAAAGAGGTAGAAATTGCTAAAAACAGTACAATTAGTTTTAAGCTTGTTACTCAGCTTTGGACCAGTTTAAATAAGATCTTACTTGGAGCAGTATGTTACAAAGATGAGTTATTGCTGTTTTCTTCTAAATACTCATTTTTGCGCCTTAGTTTGTTAAAATCTGTACCTGGGATTTTTGAGTGCATAAGAGTTATTGAAGTAGACAGCGACTCAAATATAGTTCCATTAGTGGTCTCAGAATCTTGGTGCTCAAAACTAATATAATCCCAAGTTTGATGCTAGTTTTTTGTTATAGTTTTTTTTAAGGTTATTATTGTTAATTTGAAACTGTTTTAACTAGAGGATACAATCTCTTGATATGCATACCCTGAGTTGTCATTAAACAAAGTTTGTAAGCTTAGGCAAACTTTGTTAACTAGTAACTTTAAACAAGTGCTCAAATAAGAAGAGAGCCAAGAATGTTGCTTATGTTCCCAGAGATATTTGTCTTGTTAAAGTTAAATATTTGTATCATGAAGAGATGCAAATCAGCATTACGGGTTATTGTGTCAGTAATTATTATAATGTGCATCCTTTTTATGTTTTTGCTTATTGATGTCACTGAATTATTATTGAATGTATAGGTTTTTAAATAAGATTTACGTTATGGTAGTCTAGTCTTGTTAGAAAACAAATATTGCTTTCTTTTTTTAACATAAACTTGTAATGTAGGCTAGATATGGTTTACAGTTAAAATACCAAAAAATGCAATTACTGAATTTACTTAGCTCTACTGCTTGCCAAAAATTAAATTAATAGATGTACTAATGCTTTTTGAACTGTTCAATTTCATCAATAAAATTTTAAATATTTGTTATTATTTGGAAAAAAGATTGTCATCAACATTGACTGTTAAAACATTTTTTATTGTTCATTTTTTTTTTTAAATAGACCTTTATTATTTATCATTTTAAAAGAAAAAAATATTGAACTCTAAAAACTGGTTATTAAATTAGTTTAAAACAAAATGGAAAATCCAAAAAAAGTACCTCATTAAACTTACTATTATATGAGTGTTACTTTAAAAATTTCTTGAGGAAATAGCCCTATGTAATTAAAATTTACTCTCTACATTTCTCTATTAAAAATACACAAAATACACACTTTTCACCAGTAGAATTTAGAAGGCCTAAATTTTCTCTAACACATTTTTAGCAATAATTCTATCTGATTTGACTACATATAATAGTTGGGGTCTAATATTTAAGTTATATTGGGAGTTGAACCATAATATAATTACCTTACATTACTGTCCTCTTAATACTCGATATTCCCTTAGAGTATAAGGTTTTTATTGTATATATCATGATGTTATGTCTCAGTTTTTGTAGATAGTACCAAAACTCATGGATCACAATAAAAGAAGATCCAATCAAAATAAGAATAAGAAAAACTTAAATAAAATATATACTAAAATGATTTCACTGTACTGTAAATAAAAAAATAAAAATATATTCCTAATAGGAATATATTTTTTTCTTTTAAATTACTAGCTACATCCACATATCAACTTGAGAAACTACTGTAAAAACCTTATCATATGTTATAAGAAATAATGAATAATAGTTTCTCTGCTTATTAATTCAAGCTTTATAAATTAAGTAGTTTAGGAAAAGTAAAAATAGAGAAAATCAAAGGTAATCTACCAAGGTCTATAGCCTGCATCACATTTTTAGATATAAAGAGAAAAAGAAATGTGTTGAAATTGTGTACAAATAACAATGGATGTAGCCCAACCTAATATACCTCCAACCATTAATTTTTTGAGCATCAATATAAAACTACAGTGAGTCAAGTGAATAGCTTTTTACTCTCAAGGGCCTAATACATCTTATTGCTTACCTTCATTACACTGTGAATAGGCAAATAGTTCAATAGTTGATAAATTTAAAAATACAATTAAAAAACTACTTGAAAATAAAAGAAACGCTATCAGAGCAATTTACAGCAAGTTGCAGAGAACTGTCATTGACAGCAAATGTTTGTTGTACTGATGAATTAAACTTTGTACTGAAGGTTGAGCGATACTGAAAGCCCAGCCTGTTCATTAGTTTCATCATTAACTTTCTTAGTGTAGAAAAATATTCCATATTGGCTGAATTACAAGTGATCTGTAAACATACTGCTGGGGATGACATGGAGCAGAGAAGATGGAAATGTATAGGGCAATGACTTCATAAACTATAGTTGATAATTTATGACTATGTAGAGTCAATTAAATTAAATAGAACTCCTTCCACTAAAGAAAACAGAAAAAACTATTATTAAAAACTCAATGGGTGAACTTGAAGCTGACACCACAAAATATGTATGTTAACATAAGGAAAAAATTGTTCAAGGCGCATCTTTGTTATAGCTGCCTTTGTTGTGATCAGGAGTAGGATTGCATAGACTTTCTATAAACACAATATTCATGAAAATGAATGGAATTACATAAAATTAGCTGTTTTGAGTATAGCTTTTGTCACCATCAAGTACATACGTCTTAAAGGCAAGTGTTTTGTTTGATTTGGAACAGTTTGTTTACCCTATTTTAAGATGAATAAAATGTTTGTCATCTTTGTCCTGAGAATGCTCTAAGAAGTCTTAGGTAGAAAACAGCTCTCTCATGTCTTCACCTGTGTTAGATATACCACATACACATAGCAGTTTACTACTAATAATCACTGAATCTTTAACATACTGGCAGTAACTTATTTCTTTTCAAAGAGTGATTTTTGTATTTATAAAAAAAAATATTTAATTCTTTGTTAGTAAGTTTTAATTTTTTTATAAAAATGTATTCCTTTTTCTAACAAGTATTTCTTTCTATATAGATATAATCTCAACAAGATGGTGAAGTCAACCCTTGCTTGTGGACTACAAGAATGTTTGAGTAAAGAATGGATGGGAGATAACTTCAGGGACTTTAGAGTTGTGGTTGATGGCTCAGAGTATTTCTGTCACAAATTTATTCTAAGTGCCTGCTCCACTTTCTTTAAGACTTTGCTGGGATCGGATTTTAAAGAAAATAAAGAGGAACGTGTTGAGTTAAAGAACATGAGTAAAGAGACTTTTGATGTTATTATCAATGCAATTTACAAAGGTGTTGATGGACTGACACTAGACAACATAATTAGTGTGTGGCAAGCTTCTCATTTGTTGGATATACCATTTCTTATAGAAGAATGTGAGCAGTTTGTGATGGAAAATATGTCATTAGAGAATTACATTAAATATTATTCAATGGCAAAACTTTTACATTCAGAGAATGTCATTAAGTTTACAATTGGATTCATGAAAGAAAATTTTGAACCTTTTTGTGTGACTGAGACATTTCTAGAACTTTCTTTTCCAATGTTGTTTTCCTTTGTGGATGATGATCGCCTTAAAGTAAAATCCGAAGATTTAGTTTTAGAATCGATCATTAACTGGGTTTCTTATGTTAAACAAAAACCACCTAACCTAGAAGACAGTGACAGTGAAACAAACAACACACAAGTAACAGCTATAGAAGAAACTGATGAAATACAGAACTATAAGAGCCAGGAGAAGTTGATTAATGGAGAAGATAACAAGGAGATAGACAGGAAAAGGTGTCTTGTAGAACTGTTATCTACAGCCAGAACATTTTTAGCCAGTCGAAGTTATCTCGAGAATTTACTGATTCACCCTTTGATAAAATCTTGTGACGAAGCTCATGAAATAGTTTATGACGCTTTGTTGTACCAATGGAGATCTGTTTCTTTTCCTAGTAACTTTGTCATCCCTTATAGAAACTGTAATGGTAAACGAAATGTCATGGCATACATTTGCAATGGAGAAATCTATTTATTTGACCTAAACAGTGAAGGTATTTGTAAACTTGAATTGTATATTTACGATTTTAAAAGCTTCTGTGCTTTAGCTTCCATTGAATCAACTCTTTGTGTTATTTATTCAAATAGAAATGTATCTGAGTGTGATTTTAGTAAATTGACATTGGAAACTCACAATTGTGAAAGAAAAAATATTGCAATAATTAATCCATCAAAAAGTACAACAATTATTGGTAAATTGTGTGGAAGGTTTAGTGTACAATTAACTTCACTAAATGGTACGTTTGTTATTATAACTAATAATCCAGTTCAATCACACAGTTCACAAGATACTTTTTCAAACTGGGTTCATTTGGGGAACGAAGCAAACGTCACTCAAGTTGCTTATCAAGATACTATCTTAATATTTCGCGATGGATATGAGCAGTCATACGTACATTGTAGCAATCTCTACTCTAGGTTGAATCAAGATATAAAAATAAAGGGTCCCACGAAAGATATCATAAGCATTCAAAAAGGCAGGAAAACTTTTATCCTTTATACAAACGGATCTTTAAAATCCATAGAAACAACCGGTGATAATAAAATTCAGTTCACATTTATTATTCAACTTTGGAACAACTTTGACTGGATATTAAAAGGAGCAGTATATTTCAAAAAGGAATTAATCTTATTTTGTTCGGCAAAGCCAACCGATGGGAAAAGTTTTCTAACGTCTGTGCCTGGGCTTTTTGAAAAGATCAGAGCTGTTGAAATACAGAGTCAATCAAAAGTAGTTCCTTTGATTGTGCCAGAATCATGGTGCTCCTAATTGCAACACTGATGTCTTTTATTTCCCTGGATGTTTAAGCATGGATTGCAATTTTTAAAAAATGGATCACGCATGCATTAAGTATGTATAAGTATATGTTACACTGATCTTTGCTTTATTGTACTATATAACTTTATAGGTTGGCTAGCCTGCTGCCCGTCGTGGTACATAGGCTGTCGACAAGAGCTTTCCAGACATCTCTAATCTGAGCTATTCTCTCCAACTGTCCCAAGGTATATCCAATCTGCTTGATGTGTCTTCTTCCACGTCACGTCTCCTGACCTCTTTTTCATTTACAGGTCATTACAACTGAAACTTAATTTCTAAAATTTGCAATGCATTTTAAAAAAATATATTTGTACTAAAATAATGTAATTCAGAGAGTTGCTGCATGTCCAACTTATCTAGACTACCCCTACACGTACTAACTACTAGTGTCTTTATATTGCTGCAGTAGCCTACTTGTATGAACATAATATTCAATATTGTGAGCATCTGTGGAACCATATTCCGTATACCCATAACGTTTGTTAATAATGGACTGCATAGAAGGCCAGCATACATAATCCACTATAATTATTAGCATTATGTAGATCTTGAAAATACAATGCAGTTCTGCTGTGAAAATGATATTGAAGGGTTTGTCCACAAATGTCACAATTTGTACACCAATTGTGAGCCTTATGGCGTCTCTTGTTACACAAATATGTCTTTTATAAACGACCCCGGAATCAAATGTGTGTGTACAAAATGCTTCCGAAAAAACTTTTTTTATTGTGGCTATTCAAAGGCTTCAGTTTATGAATGTGGCGTGAATTAATAATTTTCCCCACACGCAAAATTAGACATTTCACACTAAATGTTTAAAAAAATATTGTTCTTATTATTTGCTATGTTATGCACGATTTTCGCAAACATAGGCTAATATATATGTATATTTCAATATAGCCTTTAGCATAATATAAAGAATTAGGTGACATATTTAAACATGGTCGTTGTAAAACCGATATCCTACGATCACAATTTTTCTCTCGCCTATAGCGGGCCTACGTGACCTAAAACTTACGGTTAACCTACTGACAAAATAAAACAGGTACCATTGGAATTGGTTGCTAAATCTTCTATACTTGATTCGTGTACTACATTTATTAGGTTGCAATTATCAGAATTAAAAGGTTTTTTCTTTTTTTAAAAGTGTTCAATGTACATTGAAAATGAGTTTTGAATAATGTTACTAATGTAACTTATTTGAATAAATAAATATTTTTATAAGGCTTTCAAATATAAACGAAAATCAAACGGTTTAGCTAAGCAGTAGGCCTATCAAGTAATCAACAGTTAGATTATTTGTGTGTTATATAGGCAAAATGTGTTAAATGTGGTTAGCTTATTGCGTTGTTAAACATTATCCCTGCAAATTTTGTGTTATCGAATACAGTATGCTGTTGTTTTTATTTCTTTATTCCTTGCTATTATATTGCAAATAAATAAGCTTGCCATTGAAAACCCATGTATATTAAATGTTTCTGCTTTTAGTTGTTGATAATGATAACTGAAACAATATGTGTTTTGAGTAAAAGGAATCTAACATTCTGCTATATCTTCTCTTTCTGCCCGCATATATTTTCCGAAGCTATAAGCTCAGTATTTTCAGTTACCTAAATGATACGGACTTTGGTTAAAAATAATATGTTGGATGTATTAAATGTATAAATTAAATTTTATCTAAAGAATAAAAATAAAAATAAAGGCATACTCGAATGTAAAAAACATTTTAATTATGCAACCGAAAAAATGTTAACGGTAATGACAAGAACGCTCTAGAGCAGATACAAATAACACAAAAACAATTAACGTCTCATGTTATATGTTTAAACTACGGAAAGTACACAACACTAATGGCGTCATTGATTTTAGTACAAAGATAAAATTAAACATGAAATGTAGTAAATGACACACAATACTAATGACTTTATCTTCAATAAGATTCCCACATCTTCTAATTTTAGAATATGAAGAAATAAACTATTTCGTTCAAATTTAATTTAGATCTATAGATCTACTTATCAAGACTTACGCAATGAAATTTATACAATTTTCTCGGCCAAAACTAAAAAAAATATTTCTTTAACAAAAAGCAACATAAATACTCATGAACAGCATCACTTAAGTCTCCTAATCAGTAGGTGTAATATGGTGTTGTGTTGACTAATGTATATAATTCGGTTTTAATTTTTTTTATAGGTATTGGCAGCTTATGTTATTTCAAATGTGTGGATTTTTAGCTATTTAGTCATTTCTTTGCTTTGTCACTAATATAGTTAAACGTGTAGTAAAGCACATTGCGTTTTGACCAATAACTAGTTTATAAATTATTTTTGTCAAACAAGTATAACATTAAAATATATAGGCCTATAATTCACGTGTAACAGGTAACGATGGCTAGTATTTTTAGAACACTGCACACGATTTAAAAAGTATTTATACACCATTCGAAAAATTCGAGACTATTCTGACTATTCAAGGCTGCTTCCATTGTATTAAAAAAGGCAATGAAATGAAAGTGAAAGAAAAAGATGCATAAAATATAATCACACAGAACTTCCAAAGAGGTAATATGAGACAAAATAGTTTGCGTCATTTTTCCTCAGCATTATTATTTTTTACTGTACAGAGAGATTGTCGGTTTTACAACTTTTTTTACTCTTGGCAAGAAGCAGTTAGACTAGTTAGGGGGAAATAGCTGTTGCTAAAATCGGATATTTCCGAAATAATTATAATTCTGACTACGCCCTTAAGCTATCATTTCGGAATAGCTGAACACATGTAAGTAGTTTCAAACTAAATTGTCTATTTTCAGTGCGGCAGTTTTATTATAATTATTATTATATATTCTTTTCAACATGTTGTTAATTATCTGGATAGATTTAATGTCCGCTTGGACTTCTTTAGAAATTACAGTAGTATTAAAAATAAAATTCAGTAAAGTCAAGATGGCAGTTTTAGATCTAGTAGTTTATTTGTATCTATAATTAAAACTAATCAATTTAATCTTATAAAATAACTTTAATTCACTTTAAAAATAAACCAACAGAAACTACAAATATTTTTTATTTAATGTAATATATTGTATAGTGAAAATCTTTATAAAACGCATAAATTCAGATTTATTTTAAAGGTGTAATCGGTTTAGGTGAAAAAAAATAGGTCAGTTCGTCAGCTACATCTTATTATTAATGGTATTTGGGTGGATGATGAAATTAGTATATGCTGTATATATTTATTTATTTATATATATAAAATGTATATTAATATATATTTTAATATATATACCATTAATATATATATATATATATATATATATATATATATATATATATATATATATATATATAATGTATATTAATATATATTTTAATATATATACAATATATATATATTATAATATATATATATATATATATATATATATATATTTACAATGTTTTTACTATATATATATATATATATATATATATATATATATATATATATATATATATACATATAAATATGCACTGTCATGGACGAGTAGTCACTTGAGTTCATGCCAGGCAAATTAGCCTAAGGTCAGCACCTCTTCTTTCATATAGATCGAGTGTATACAAGGTTGGATCAGACTTGTATCTTTTTGTTAATTTCGCCTTTTTGAACTTTTCGACTATTATTTCGACTATTATGTATTACGCCATAAATTTAGATGTGTATATGTATATACATAATTTTAAAAAAGGGCAAGTAATAGTATTAATTTCTGCTATTTAACAAGTACGAAATTATTTTTGTTTTGGTTTATAGTTATTTTACCACCAGGAGAAAAAAACAAAAATTTCTTTCCATAGATCTCAACAAGATGGTGAAGTCAAGCCTTGCATGTGGACTACAGGAATGTTTGAGTAAAGAATGGATGGGAGATAACTTCAGGGACTTTAGAGTTGTGGTTGATGGCTCAGAGTATTTCTGTCACAAATTTATTCTAAGTGCCTGCTCCTCGTTTTTTAGAGGTCTTTTTCGAACAAATTTAAGAGAAAAGCAGGAAGAGAGGGTTAAGTTGCATGACATGAGTAAAGAGACTTTTGATGTTATTATCAATTCTATTTATAAAGGTGTAGATGGTCTTACAATGGACAATGTCCTGAATCTATGGCAGGCAGTGCACCTACTAGATATTTCATTTCTTATTCAAGAATGTGAGATATTTGTAATGGAAAATATGTCCTTGGATAATTATATTACATATTATCATATGGCAAAGCTTCTGCAGTCAGAGACCGTTATTAATTTTTCGATTGGATTTATGAAGAAACATTTTGAACATTTTCAAAATACTGAAACCTTTCTGGAGCTTTCTTTTCCATTGTTGTTTTCCTTGATTGATGATGACAGTTTGAATGTAAATTCAGAAGACTTAGTTTTAGAATCAATCATAAAATGGGTTTTGTATGAGCCTGTACATAAGAAATCAAGTCAAGGGAAAGATATGGATTTCCAGGATACTTCATCAGAAGAAGAGAATTCAAAAACTACTTTTAATAAAACCGATTGTGGGGTTCAAGATCAGTTTGAAGCAGACGTCCAAAAGAACTCAGACAATGAAACCAAAGGCGATAGAACAAGCATTGCAAACAAGGATAGGTTAGACAGAAAGGAATGTATCGTTGGACTTTTATCTACAGCCAGAACATTTTTAGCCAGTCGAAGTTATCTCGAGAGAATTCTGATTCACCCGTTGATAAAGTCTTTTGATGAAGCCCATGAAATAGTTTATGAAGCTTTGTTGTATCAATCGAGATCTGTTTCTTTCCCAACTAACTTTTTCATCCCTCATAGAAACTGTAGCGGCAAACGAAATGTTATGGTTTTCGTGAAAAGTCAGAAATTACATTGCTTTGAATTAAACAGGCAATATACGTCCCCGATTACGATTGATTTGATGGTAGTTGGCGGCTTAGCATCCTTTGACTCCACTCTTTGTTGTTTTAGTGTTAGCTGTGAGAGCGAGTGTGAATTTTGTCGTTCATCGAGATATTCAAAAACACATCAACATATCACAACAATTGATTCAAAAAAAGAAGTTTCTAAAATTTATACGATTTGTGAATATTCTCGAAATGAGCTAGTTTCACACCGTGGTGTTTTTATTGACATTACCGATAAAAAATGTACAAAACAAAATACTACTGCAAATGCAATAAATTGCTTACAATATGTGCACAATTCCAGTTATGAATCTGTATGTGTTTTTCAAGATAACATTCTATTCTTTTCTAACAGTTATAATAATTCTAAACCCAGTGTTAAAGTACATTGTTACAACATTTACACAAAGTCAACTCAGGATGTAAACTTTGAAGGCCCAGCCAATCACATTAAAAGTTTTTCAACTGGAGCCAGAAAGACTTTTATTCTACAGAAAAATGGTGCTCTTAGATCAGTACACGTGACAGATGATTCTAAAATAGAATTTACATTTGTTTCTCAACTATGGAATAATTTTGAGTGGATCCTAAACGGAGCCGTATATTATAAAAAAGAGCTAACTTTATTTTGTTCAAAAAAGCCAGAAGATGTTGACTCAAGTTTGGTGAAATCTTTACCGGGCATTATTGGAAGGATAAACGTTGTTGAAATTGAAAGTGAATCCAATTTAGTTCCATTGGTCATACCAGAATCTTGGCTCACTCAGCCGTAATGTGTTATGTTTACATTCAAAATACGAATAAAAGGGATATCAACTCATAGCTCGTTGGTTATCTCCCCATTTTACGTATGCATAATCCGTATGGATGTTTAAAAATAAACTTGACATTTGAATATATAACAATTGTATTGTTTTTGTAGATAGGCCTACATCTATTAGACTCGTTTATTGTCAGATTCCTTGATGAACAATCGACAAAAGACAAGATAGTTAAATAAAAATCTTGTAAAATGGATCTTGTAGGATTGATGATTATCCCTAACTTCTTCTCATGTGCACGCTCTAACTTTGTTATTTATTTATCCTTTGAAATCGTTTCGACATAATTAGAATAAGACTTTCTTTTAAATTACAATTACAAAATTTTGAAAACTATTTCCCCAAGAATCATTCTAATTAGAATAACTATTAGTATTTTTAGTGTTGAAATCCGGGATAAATTAAATCGTCTTCAATAGTTTACATTAATATGGACTCCTCTAACCTGACTGTACAGTAAATGACTTAGTGAATGCTAAAAAAACACAAGTTACTCGATTTAAGTAAATTTAAATATAACGAAATATTTTACCACATGAAACAGAATTTACTGCATTTATTTAATTAATTCATAAATTGAATGCTAAAAGTGAAAGCATTCGTCATGTCCTCTCACTCTGCAAGATGTTTTTTTTTTAGTCTGAAACTGAAATTTCTGTTAATCGGAGATACCCGTAGTTGTGTTTTACTAGAATTTGTAGCATTTTCTCATAATAATGTTATTTTACACGTGGCGTATTGTAAATATTTTGAAGTCATACACATTATCTACTTTAAAGAGGTATTTATGATTTTTCCCCATGTTTATGCTAATATTTTTTAATGGAATGTTAAAATTAGACTTTGGTTTGTTTTTAACTTGTGTTTTTTAAAATAACATCTCATCATAAGTATTTAGTAAAAATGTGAAAATATTAAAATTAATGAATGCACAAATATTAGACGAATTACTGGGGTAGGGATGTTTTGCATTTTTTTAATGTTGCGTTATATGTTGGTGGATGTAGTAAAGAGTAATATTATATAATTATGCTTTTGGCGTTTATCATTGTTATTATTATTGTTGTTGTTGGTTGCACACATAATCAAATTTTACACATTTATTTTAAACGAAACTTTAATAAATTTTATTTTCTATCAGGACGTGATTCCTTTTGTAATATCCAATTTTCATTAAGCTTTGATCTAGTTAAAAATGTTTTGTTTTTTTTGTTTGGTAGGTTTGTGGCAAATCTTATAATTAAATTTTGACACACTTTCAATCCAACAATTTCGTTCGAAATTTTCAGATACGTTCGCCTTTAATTATATATTTAAAAATCGCATTGCATATTAAATCCGTCATTAAAACTTTAATTTAAAATTACTAAAGTAAACAACAAAAGGGAGAGATAACAGAAGTAAGTACTAGCAGACGTGTTGTACAGTTGGTCGCGAATGGTTGGTTGGACACGACCGCACTTGGGCTAAAAATGAGAGATGATTGTCTGTTGGAGATGGGTTTTAAAGCAACATTTTTAGTCTTATGAATTGCCAACTTCATTAGGATCGAAATAAATGCCAAAAGATAAAATAAAGTAGGCCTGCTAATTGGTTTTTTTTAAAACGTGTATATCGTCTTACTACATGTATTTTGATTTAGAAGTGTCACAATTATTAAAAACTATAAAATAAAACCAATATAAAAAAAACCTATATATTGAAACTATATGCAAACTTGCTTGTGGAGCCTCTTGCAGACTTTAGTGTCAGTGCTTTTGTTAAAAAAAATCAAGTTTTTATTCTTATTTTTTTTTGTGTGCAATTTAAAGCATATTAAGGTCTTTTGAAATATTTGTTTTATTTCAACTTTAACTCAGTTCACATTGGCTATAATAGTGGGTTTATGGCCAAATTTGAAAGTCAGTTTTGACCCACGTCTAATGCAGCGATTTCTTTCAGCCTTTACATATTCCTATTCAAAGACAACGTAAAAATATCTAATTGTAATCTATTCAGATATTAAATTAATCATAAAAGATAATTTAATGATTACATACATCAAAAGGGGAGATAAACAATTAATATGTAGCTCTGGTGGACTGTAGGCTATAATCAAGGATGGTTTCATTTCATACCTGCAAACCGATCATGTAGTTGAGTAAGCGGCAGATAATTGTCGTTAGAGTTACTCCTCGTGTTTAAAGCGACTATTTTCCCACGTTTTTCCCACGTTTTCTTTAACTTGCTTTCTCTGTTTGTGTGTTTGTTTGTCTTTCCAATCAAATCTTGCGATCGAAATTTCTGGCACTTCCCAGTTAGCTAGCGCGCTGAAATTTTCAGGGAAGCTTTCTTTTGGATGACCATTGAATATTCAATTGTTATTATTACTAAATTGATCAATGGAAACATTGTATTGAGCATTTTAGACCGCTATATAATCTATATATATAATTATCCTCTGCTAGCCATTAGAAAAAAAACCAGCGACGCGTACCTCGCGCGCAGTGAAGCGAACGATCACATGTCGCCACAGGCTTAGGGGCAGAGAATTTAGCTTGAACCGAGTTTAAACTTACAGGAGGTAGGCCAGTTTGGGGGAGACGATATGGTCGAGTGGTTGGGCACACGATTGCTATCCCACTCGACACGGGTTCAAATCTATGTGTTCTAGTCAGTAACGTATTCAAACAACATGTTTTTTACGAGTTGTCTTTTTACGAGTTGTCTTTTTACGAGTTGTCTTTTTACGAGTTGTCTTCGTTTACCCAAAAAAAAAGTGAAAAGATAAAATCGATAGCAAGATTTTAATGCAAACAAACAGACAAAGACTAAAAAGTAGAAAATAATAATCATTAAAAAAGTTTTAAAAAACCCACGTTTTCTGATTGAACTAAAAAGTAGAAAATAAATACTATACATACAATAATGCAAGCGATCACTCTACTATAAGCTATCAAAAACGTGGGTCGCCGAAGTAAAAGTTATATTACTATTGATTAGATAATACTATTGACTTTTATTAGGGAGCTTGTAGAGAGTCAACAGTATTAGAAACTGTAAGAAAATCACGGCGCCCCACGTTTTTGATAGCTTATAGTAGAGTGATCGCTTGCATTATTGTATGTATAGTATTTATTTTCTACTTTTTAGTTCAATCAGAAAACGTGGGTTTTTTAAAACTTTTTTAATGATTATTATCTTTAACTTGCTTTCTCTGTGTGTTTGTTTGTCTTTCCAATCCAATCTTGCGATCGAAATTTCTGGCACTTCCCAGTTAGCTAGCGCGCTGAAATTTTCAGGGAAGCTTTGTTTTGGATGACAATTGAATATTCTATTGTTTTTATTACTAAATTAATCCATGGAAACATTTTATTGATCATTTTAGACCGCTATATAATTGTACCAAAAAACGTGGGGGAAAAGGGACATTACCCAGTAACTGTAATTTGATGAAAACAAGGTTCGGCACTCCCCCTCTTTTTGCTTACTGAGTAGTTGTCACGCTGTGTTTGTGTACAAACAACCATAACGTAACAACTGGTGGCCAGTATGGGGGAGACGATATGGTCGAGTGGTTGGGCACACGATTGCTATCCCACTCGACACGGGTTCAAATCTATGTGTTCTAGTCAGTAACGTATTCACACAACGTGTTTTTTACGAGTTGTCTTTTTACGAGTTGTCTTTTTACGAGTTGTCTTCGTTTACCCAAAAAAAAAAGTGAAAAGATAAAATCGATAGCAAGATTTACATGCAAACAAACAGACAAACACTAAAAAGTAGAAAATAATAATCATTAAAAAAGTTTTTTAAAAACCCACGTTTTCTGATTGAACTAAAAAGTAGAAAATAAATACTATACATCACAATAATGCAGGCGATCACTCTACTATAAGCTATCAAAAACGTGGGGCGCCGTGATTTTCTTACAGTTTCTAATACTGTTGACTCTCTACAAGCTCCCTAATAAAAGTCAATAGTATTATCTAATCAATAGTAATATAACTTTTACTTCGGCGACCCACGTTTTTGATAGCTTATAGTAGAGTGATCGCTTGCATTATTGTGATGTATAGTATTTATTTTCTACTTTTTAGTTCAATCAGAAAACGTGGGTTTTTAAAAACTTTTTTAATGATTATTATTTAGTCGTGAGAGTGTAAGCTTAATAAAAATTAACCGCATTTAAAAATATATAAGATACTGTGTTTTTTTAAACTTATATCGATATATAAATTAAAAATAAACAAAACCAAAATTAATAGGCCTTCTTTATTTTCTTGCTTACTATGCATTTAAAAGCTTATTATTATAAAGGTTTTTATACTTGTTTTATTGTAGAATCAAATGTGTTGTTGCTTGTGTGTGTGTTTGGTAGGGGGTCACAGTTTCTTCCAAGCATCTCTTTTACCAGTGTCCGCCCCTCGGAAAATGTAGTCTGCCCCACCCCCCAAATATCAAGTGCCCCCCTCCCTCAGAGTATTGTAAAATGATGTGACGGCTAATGGTCTACGAAAATATTACATGGGCTCATAATGTGAGTGAAAACATAAAATGATTTTAGCTCTTTAAAAGATTGACTGAAATATAAAAGAAACATGATAAGTGTTTAAAAGTTAGAAAAAGATATTTCGTGTCAGATTTTATCTTACAACAGTATTACAAGTTGCTGGTATCGAATTGAAGCTAAAAGCTAAATTATATATATTACAGATAATCATAGGTCTATTGTCGTTCACTTGAAAACAAGATGGTCAAATCAACACTTGCTTGTGGACTACAAGAATGTCTGAGTAAAGAATGGATGGGAGATAACTTCAGTGACTTTAGAGTTGTGGTTGATGGCTCAGAGTACTTCTGTCACAAATTTATTCTAAGTGCCTGCTCTACTTTTTTCAAGACTTTGTTAAGTTCAGATTTCAGAGAAAAGAAAGAAGAACGTGTTGAGTTAAAGAACATAAGTAAAGAGA